GACAGCTTAAAAGCAAACCAGGGCTGCTTTAGGCATCCTTGCAGATATCAAGGGGCCTTCAACAGCTCAGGAGACTCATCTCGCCTGGATGAATGTGCCTCCATGGAGAATTTTGGGGCTCAGAAGAGGCCTTTTCTGTTTGGCACCATGCCCTGGGCTGTGCTCACCTTACAGCACGTCCTGAGCAGCAGCTGGAAGAAGCTTCCATTGTTGCAAGAGATGCAATAAACAAGTGGGACTCATCTGTCACATGCACAGAGGTCTTCAGGGGGCTGCATTCCAAATCCTGCCTCCCCAGCAGTTATGGCACAAGACTTTCCCACCAGCTGCTAAGCTGTTTTCCAACCTGCAGACTAGTTTCCACTCAGATGCTTCCCCATGTCTTGGCACAACTCCTACGCCAAGGTCCTCAGAGTCCTTTTCTCCCATCTGCCTTTCAAAGCAGACACCTATGCTGCAGTTGTTCTTCCCAATTTTGTTATTGAGGGGATGAAACCAAATGAGGAAAACTCTTCTAAGAAGAAACACAGAACAAAATGTGCCAACAAGCAAAGAAAAGTTTCACAGCTCTCTCTCACTCTGTGGTATTACCTGTTGATACTCAGTGTCACATCTCAGACAAACCTACACCAGCTTCCCATTGCTCTCACTACCTCCTTTCACTCTCAGGCAGTAACCATCTTCGCCAGATCACCAGGACTAGGACCTAGAGTTCGCTCAATTTTTCCTCTAGTAGCTGTAATCCTTGTAACTGCCCCTTGTTGTCCTGGAAGAGCAGCTTCTGGGAATTCAGGAAGCTGGTGTTCAGCACCTACAGCCCCTCTGTGTGACAGGCTGGACTGAGCCTGCGTTTGGCAGAGCACAGAGTCGCTGGCTTAGTTCCCAGATTGTGAAGACTGGCACAAACACAGAACCTGCCGGGATCCCACATGCTGGGAGCCCAGCGCTCTGTTTGGCTGGCTCCTGCCTTGCCATGGCAACACGGAACAAACGCTCCCTGGAATGCTGGGTACTGTGGTCGGGGGAGCCACTCTGCAGGTCTCCTCTCCCGCAGGGAGGAAAGGACAGATGCAGTGACACCACCAGGGCCTGGGCACTGCTCCCTGGGTGCCGACCATCCCTGCCTGGAACAAGACTCCTCTGGGCTGCCACCTGCCTGCGCCCTGGGCCCATCTGCCTGTCAAGGGGGGTTGGGAAGCACCAGCAAGTGCTCCAGGCAGCTGTAAGTAAGGCTGAGTGAAAGCGAGTTAAGGAATGAGGGGTAAGTAAAGGGAGACTGCCCTGCTGCTCCTCACGTTGTCTCAGAACCCCTTTCCAGATCAGCCTGACGTTTCTCGGATGGGTCCCACAGCTCTGCAGAGCAGCTCTGTAGACCAGCGCGCTCTCAGTGCATTTGTGTGTTTCTAAAGCTGAAGAGAATGGACAAGGGAGAGGAAAACACTGCCAGCAAGGAGAAAGCTCACACTCTCACAGAAAACGGGAGAAGCGGTACAGAGGGGTATCTTCCTCACCTGGAGAAAACCGAGAAAGGTAGAGTGCCTTCTCTCTTTGCATGTGTTGGGGTCTTCCCACAAGGATTTGTCAGCATTTTATTTATCTTAGGAACAGAATATGTCATCAAAAATACCCAGAAGCTCACAGGCAACGACTTCACAGTGGAGAGAGGACAGCAGATGATTGAAGAGATCATTTCTGTGAGTGACAATTTCATCCACCCAGGAAGGTCATGACTTCTGACTGCTGAGGAGTATGAAAAACTAAAAGAGAGCAACTCGGTTCCCTTTTAGCACCTCCCTCAAGTCACCTTTACTAGACAGAGGGAATCTTAGTGCCCTATGTTTGTTCAGCAGACCTGGGGGGTTCACGAAAGCTGGCTTCACTGGTCAGAATTTCTCCAGGAAGAAGAACTGAAGTACAGCAAGAGGTACCATTACAGAGTTCGCTGGAGCATCCCAACTCGCCGAAAACCCATCCCACGAGCCACAGCAAGCGTCTACTTCGTTATAGAGATCTCCAAAATCAAACCTGCTGTAAGTACTTGCAAATGGCATGCACCAATCCTCTCAGGGACAAGAGTACGGAGGAGTCTCCTGGGGCAGGGAAATGCCAGGGCAGCAGAGAGACCGGCCAGGAGCTGGCAGCTCTCATGAGAGATGCTGACCAGGCCTGGGCATTGCCAGAGCAGCCACGGGGGATTTAATCACAGAGTGAGGTAAACGAGCGGTCAGTCGCTGAGGGGAGCAGAGCACAGAGCCAGAGGCTGGTTTAGCTCACCAGTTGTGGAGACTGGCAGAAACCTGACAAACAGAATCTGGCAGGTTCCCACATCTGTTTACCTGTTCATACCATCTGCCCTTTCCAAGCAACAGCCATCGCTTGGGGCAGCTCTAAGTGGGGCTGAGCAGAGGCAAATTACAAAACAGGGACTCAGTAGATGGAGACTGTCCTGCTGCTCCTCATGCTAAGAATCCCTCTTGAGACTGACCTGAAGTTTGTCCCCTGTACAAGATATGCAGCTGCTCAAGAGAAAAAAAGAAGTAAATCACACTGACTGTACTTGTTACCTCCGGAACCTATGCTCAGGCACACTGAATGTTAGCTTTTTTACTTACTGGCTATTCTCAAATAGGGGTTCACAGATATTATGCTTTAACCACATCTGGCAACTAGGCACCACACAGCTGCTCACTCCCTCCTCCCTCACAGTGGAATGAGGAGAGAACTGGAAAGGTAGAAGTGAAAAGAACTTTTGGGTTGAGATAAAAGAAATTTAACAATTAAATACATACAGATATATAAGGAAAAAAAATAACTGTGAGAGAGAAAAATAAAAACTAAGACAGACAAGTGATGCAAACGAAAACAATATCTCACCACCAACTGACTAATGCCCAGCCTGTGTCCCCCCACAACTGCTTGTGCTCCCCCAGCCTCCTTGCCAGTGGTGTGGGATAAGGAGCAGAAAAGGTCTCGACTCTGTCCGAATCCTGCTCAGCGATAACGAAAATATCCCTGTGTTGCCAAAGCTGTTTCCAGTACAAATTCAAACCATAGCCCCATAGTAACTACTATGCAGAAAATTAACTCTAGCCTAACCAAAACCAGCACAACAGATCACAGCTGCTGGTCAGAAATCTTACATTCTATCACAAGCTTAAACTTGTAACATGAGCCTTCACAAAAGAAGATCACTCAGAGAGGCTTTAAACCAAAACTATTCTAATCCATATCAGAAATATTACACAAATACAGAGACTGTTTTTGAAGAAGTAGATAGTAGCTCTCACTCAATTAAAACGTCTGCTTTTTGAGCTCCTGCATGTGAACTCTGCCCTGTTTCCCCTCTCTTTCAGACCTTTCCTGTGGAAGTATTCTTCACGCTGGAGTCCAGCACCCTGATTCACAGGTAAATGTTATTACTCTGCCACCACTGACACAACTCTGGAGGTTCTAGAAAGCCCCTCCATGCCAAAATCAAACAGGGAGCTTGAGGTAAATAAGTCTGCAGTAATAGCAGAGAGATGGAGGAAGCTCGTCAAAATCTTGCTATGCAGAACCAAACAGCTCTGCTTACCATCAGCTTCACTCCACCACAAGCACGGGCAGCCACACCACGAGCATCTGACTTCTCCATAATGAATCTGTCCTGGGTTTACATAGGTCTGGGTGGGGGTCTTTCTCACAGCAGACAGGCTTTTCCTATGAATACAGACCAGCTCTCAGTTGGCCAAACTTAGATTCATTATTATTCTTACCATTTACCCTCTTTTTATTCCTTCTTTCAGGCCAGAAAAGTGTCACTTTAGAGAAAAGTGGCTTAAGGACATCATTGAAAATAAAATAATCCTCATGGAAAGACTTACTTTCTAATGAACAGCTCCAACTCACCATCGCCAATGCTCTGGTGTTATTTAGCAGAGAATCAGATAAACACACTGAAGGAAGAATGGCTATTCCTTATCAGCATTTTTACTATGTGTATAAGTAAAAATCATTAAACCTGTGCAAAACCAATTACGGCCTGACCTGGCACCTGGCTTTACATGATGGTTCCTTGCACGTATGGGTGGGTACGGCCGGTTCCAGGGTAAATGGGAAGATTCAGCTGGGCTGGACTCACAGTTTGTGAAAACCAGGTCTGCAGAATTTGAGTAAATGTTAAAGGATTTTATTTTCTTTTTACAAACTTACAAGGTATCTCTGCTGCCAAATCTACAATGCAGAGATTTAGGGAAACAAGAAAACCCCACAAACCTATAGAAAACACTTTCTTTTTAAAAGCATTTGGTAAAAAGAAGGCTAAGGAGGGTATACTTGGAAATATGCAGTTGAACCAAAGATCACCACAGAAGGACTACCCAGACCAGCCCTCTGAGTACATGGTTTAAAGAGGACCATTTAATAGTGCTGAAACAGACCAAATGAAAATACCACTGGGGTTAAAATAAAGTTTTAATCTAGACCACTTCCATAGACCAATTTTCAAACAAATTGAAAGATACATCGTTGTTAACCACCTGTGTACATCCAGGGGTTCCAATCACTGCACCCCACTTCTCTGGTACCTATGTATAACATAGGAGAAAAAGCAGCAAGCAACTTAGCTCTTCACTGCAGGGGCTGAAGATCAGGCCCTCCTATTGCCATTACTGTTACTTTATAGCCCGAGTGTGATCTGCTTGCTTTAAAATAACTGAAGACCATCTGTATTAAATTACACTCTTCTCTATTTACAAGTCTAGTTTGAACCACAAACCAAACAACTCTTATGAGAAAAAAAAAATCTAAGAGACTTATGGAAAAAATACGTAGGTTGACAGTCTTACATCTCAAACAGGAACTTAGGAGTTTCGTAATTTTTGCTACTGTTACTAGTAGCTTGCGTCTGATGGCCAGTCTGCTCGCATTAATCAGAATAAATGGAAAAATTGCACTTAGCAGCATCATGTAACAAAACCACCCCACAGAATTCTCCCATCTGTCCAACTTAAAGCAAGCACAGAGCATTGCCACCTCTCATCTTCCTTGGCTGTTCCTGCCTTCCAGCCTTTCACTTGACAGGGATTCCTTGCAGGTGATGAATAAATCATCCAAGAAAATCTGGCAAAAGTAACTCTGTTTCCTTGATACAAGTAACCCACTCCTGAGGCTCAGCCCTGTTGGGTGAAAGGCACTGCAGCACTTGCTTTTTTAAAATCAGGACTGGAACAGGTTAGCTGCTGCCTGGTAGAACCTACAGCATACAGTTCAAAGAATTATTTTTCCTCTTTGCCCTTAGTCTTTCTGTAGACCATCTCTCGAAAGCTTGCAAGGATCTTATTCTCTCTTTTCCTCCTCTCCTCTTGGTTGAAGGATGCCAGAGCTCTCTTCTCATCTGCACTGTAAATCTGGTTCTCTTTACGCAGACGCACAGCTTCCATCCGGCGGTGTCTGCAGAGGAGAGCATTGTGTACATCAGTATGGGCAGAGGGATGTCACGCCCTGTCACGGCGTCCATCCATCAACTGGCCTGAATGTTTTGAGAGGCTTTTAAATAAGGACACCCACCACTACAGAATCCAAACTGCACAAACCTTCTCAGGTAGAAGCAAGGCAGAACAAGAAGCTGACATCTGAGGGTGTTTGCTCTCAGGCTGTCAGCCAGAAGCCCCACCTACCCCCAGGGTGTCAGCTGCTGGCTCACCAAGATTTACATGAAATTCCTGTTGGACTCAGAGAAAAAGGTGCAGCCAATCTCTCACACTTTGATTTGTCTCCAACAGAAGAGCCAGCACATCACCACTGCTGTCCAAACACACCACCTTTGAGCCACCTGATACAAGCATCTCCTCATTTTAAACACAATATAATTACAAGCTTATTACCCGAAAAGAATTTTTGCTCCCAAGGAGAAAGTGTCCTTAAAAAACTCACCATGTATCTATAGCAAGAGGGAGTTTAGTGTAGATTATTGTGAGCACACAGAACACCTACTCTTTCACGCTTTCAACTAGAGCTTGGACGCAGCCTTCCTACCAGCCAGGAGGGGAAAGCAGTTCCTGAAACCTTCACCAAACCATGATCATCCTCAAAATCATACCTGCTGCCACTCATGACATAACCAGAGCTCTCAAATGATGCAATTTCTTCACTGGTCAAGCCGATTTCACCTCGCCGTGGTATACGTTTTCCTGCTTTTACATACTCTGCCATTGCTGCACCTTCACCAGGCAAGAGGGCGTGTCCATAGCTTAGAGAGAAAAAAAAACAACAAAAAGCCGTGATTTCAATCAGTCTCAAATGGAGCGAGCCAGAGGTAAACATCCAGCTTCCCTGTTTACAACTTGTTACAGCTGCATTTTTAAGCACTTTCTTATTCTTTCCCACATACTGGCCTGTTCCTTCCTTATAGCCAACACCACCATGGCCATCTTACATTATCAGGTGAATCCATTCTGATTAAACAGCAATGAAGACATTATTAAGTCACAATAGTGCAGAGCATTAGAATAAAGGCATTTTACAATTAATTTTCTAAGAATCAAGGCTAAAAAAGCATAATTCTCTACCTGAATTCAGGCCATAGTAAAGGCTAGCACCGTTAACGCTTCTGTCTGCAAGTTTCTGGCACAGCGTTTCTCTTTCACGTGTGCCGTATTGTTATAAAAACCCTTGTAGACCTTCAGGTTTAATTTACCTGATTTGAGCTGGTTACTTACTTCAAGGGCCGATCATCCTGAGATGCATGAGTTTTGGGAGCTTCTGGTCCAATCAAGCTATCAGCTTCTGTATTTTCTGCAACAATCAAAAGAAGAAGCAGATTAATATCGTGCCCATTGATCAGAACAGTTACACAGGTCAGCCACACCCAAAAAAGGATTCATAAAAAGCACATCAAGAAGTTTCAATCCAAGTCTAAAGTCAGGTGAACCTACTCGATCTCTCAATCCAGAGATCTTCCCCTTGACGTGTTTCATCATCAGAATCTTCACTACTTGAATCACTGGATTCCTTCCTGCTCCTCTTATTTTTCTTTTTCTTATACTTCTTCCTGTGATAAAGTTGAAGACAGACGTGCTGTTTACCAAAATTTAAGACGAGAGAAAGTGCTTGGAATCATATTCACATAATCAAGATAAACTCCACTAATGGAAGACTGGCTGTCGGCATGTGGATTGCCGTTGTTTCATAGAGAATGCCATACAGCAAAACAATATTTACTGCTAGCCCTTTTACATAGTATTAGAAAGTGGCTCCCTATGTTTTCAGAGAGCACTCGATGCTGCATGGTTCTGTATATTTAAAGAAACTCCATCAAATTAAGGTTATTCAACGGCATTTATCGCCCTAATTATGAGTTCTCAGCTTTCTCCATCACCTGCTAAGAAAGCGGTGCTGCCCTCTAGTCAAAAGCAGGTAGAATTACTCACAACAACCTGGGAACTTACTTTCTCTTCTTCTTCTTTTTGCTTTTCTTTTTATCTTCATCTGAAAAAAAAAAGAAAGTATATATTATCAAAAAAAGATTAGCTACAACTAAGTAGTTTACTACACCGTGAATAACTAACTGCCTCCACGACAATGCCTTAGTGCACAGCTGCTCAGCCGTGATTTGTTTATGTGCCAAATAATACCGAGAAAGCATTAATAGAAAACTACTTGCACTCTTGTTCGGTATCAGAACACACCCAGCGTACCTCTGGCATGAGCCATCCAATGGGTACTGAATTCAGGAATCCTATTTCCTGAGGGCAGACCACAGGCACTCAAGAAGGCACTGCAAACCCAGCAAGTCGGTGAAAGAAAAGAATACTGTGCAGGTGCCGCAGCTCTGCGATTTCAGAGCACTGCAAGCGTGCAACAAAAGCCAGAAGCATCGCTTTGCATTCAGAGGAGCAGAAGGAGAGCTCTTGCTCCAAGACCAGTAGCCAAAACCCTCCTCTCTTACCAGTGGAGTTCTGCTCAGAATCCGACTCGCTGTCACTGTCCTCAGAATGTTTTCGGCGTTTTCTTTTGGATGCTTTCCGCTTTTTCTTCTTTCTTTTCTTCTTCTTTTTCTTCTTTTCCTCTAGAATGTTTTTAAAAGATAACATTAGAGAACAGACAAAGATCATCTGGCTCTGCACGTATTTCCCGATCTTCCTAAAGCAACGCTCTCCTTTGAACTGGAGCCCACCACACCCACCTCCACCTATGCAGGTCAGAGAAACTCTTGCCAGCACCACCAGCACATTGTAGACTTTGGTAACCTCCCACTTTTGAAAAAAGCTGCGTAAGCAAAACAAAATACCTTCTGAGCTGGAATCTGAAGAACTACTCTTGGATTTTGCCTCTTCGTCTTCTACCGGTGTATGCTCATCGGAACTGAATAAAAATAAAAGTCTGCTATTTAAAATTTATCTATTTGAGAATAAAGGTACCCACAGGACTAAACATATGCTTGCAGATTTTGAGTAAATAAACTATTAAATAGCTAATTTGCAGTGTTGGATCTCCTTTCAGAACCACAACACAAAGGACAACTGATCTATAATAAATTATATCTGGTATAGTGGAATTATTTTGGGGAAAAAAAGAAGCAATAATCTCATCACATTTACTCAGAAATGAACGGACACGACATGAACCATGGCGAAGGGACTAGCATAGGGATAAGACATTTTTATAAATAAGCCGACATACAATCAATATCATAAAGAACAGAAGGAACGAAGAATGAAGGGGCCTTACTCCGGGTCAGGAACCTTTGGTGACAGTCCCCAGACTTCAGGTGCCCCCAGTTCTCCAATTCTCTCTCTCTCATTGAGCCTCCTGTAATGGAAAACACCTCTGCTGAAGCCCGGCACGCAACACATCCCTGTTCTGAGCCTGCTGTCCGCCGCTGCTTCTAACCGCACAGAGCAGCTACAGCAAGAAGGAACAACCAACGGCCTCGGGAGGCCGAG